TACGCCCACATCTTGAATATGGTATGCAGGCTGTTGGCCCATACACTGCAAAGGACATCAAGCTGCTGGAACAAGTTCAAAGGAGGGCGACAAAGCTTGTAAAACCTTTAAGGAGCACACCCTACCCAGAGCGCCTCCGCAGTCTTGGACTTCTTAGCGTAGAAGACAGACTGCGTCGAGGCGACCTCATTGAAACATACAAGCTCCTGACAGGGAAGGTTAAGGTGGACAGTGATCAGTTCTTTGAAGTCGACCACGAAGACCGCACGAGAGGGCATCATCTGAAGCTGAAAAAAGGCAGATCAAGTCATCTATACAGGCTGAAGTTCTTTTCAAACAGAGTAGTTAATGACTGGAATGGATTGCCTAGAGATGTGGTGGAGGCTACTTCTACAAACATGTTCAAACGAAGACTAGACCAACACAGGGCTGCCAAACCTGCATCCTCACGCCACAACTGACCTTATGGCTCATTTCCTAGTCCGGCTCGATGTGAGCATTGAATAGACCTAGTCTACTACAGCTCACTAATGCTCAACTTCAACTTCAACTTCAACTTCAATTGCAAAACAAGTCACAGTAGTATGTTTGTTACCCTGTTCCTTTATGCTCATTTTTAAAGTGGGCAAATCTCGACAACTGGGGGGGCAATTCTGTTGAGTGCGGGGGCATTTGCCCCCCCCAGTTCAGTTGGGCAAACTAGGCGGCGGGAATCAAAATATGGAGGCATCAAAATATTGATTCTAGTGGGCGGAGCTTTGACCATATATGGGCATACGTGCAGACCATCACAGAAACGTCAATTCTTCAGCAACCGGCTACAATTTCAAGATAGTTTCTTCACAAAATGAAGAGCAACGTTGAAGCTGCCCACCAGGCACGAAACAATAGCCCTAACCTCTTTGGTTAGTTTTGGAAAGTGTCTTGAAAATAATCAAGATATTGATTCATCACGGCGGCTAATCCCGGCGAGAATCAATATTTTGATTCTGCAAACAGCTGGCTAATCATTATTTTGATTCTGAAATCAGCTGGTTTATCAATATATTGATTCTGCGAACTGACTTTCTGCAGACGTACTTCACCCTTTAAATTGATTTATGGGATGTTTCTTGTGTGCAAATAATGCAAATTCAATAAATTCATTAAGATATTATCAGCACAGGATCGTGTAATTTTTTTCTAGACCTTATTCCCACGGTAGACCAGGGATTTTCAGCACTCACCCTGGCTCCCTGCTCAAAGCTGCAAGCCTTCGAGGGAATGCGTGAAGGGAGCCGTGCTGACCTTTGTATAGGGGTTGTACTGAGTCGGAGCCGGAACCGAAGCCCGACCATTTTACTCGGAGCCGGAGCCGGAGCTGGAGCCGATTTTTTCCTCCGGAGCCGAAGCCGTCTGACATTTTCACGGCTCCACATCCCTGCTTTGTAGCATTGATTTTGAGTAAAAAAAAGTTAACTTATCGTCTTTCACGTGTTCATGAATGTGTTTCTACGCATCTGTATCCCGTCCCATTTCTGTGGAGTACAGTAGGAGATATTTCGCCGAACAATATACTCAAGCCCGTTGCACAAATTGCACAATTTGAATGAAAATATGATACACGGATGTATTTGCATTCGCAAATAATACGATGATATTCATAACACATTTCACAACGATCCCTGCAATTGCCACATATTTGCCATCACAAAGCCCTGTCGTTGATGCTCACATCCCATGCAAAGCAATACTCACTTTTAGGACACGTCTCTTATTCAATATGGCTACGTATTTGCAAAACATGCAGTTAATAATATTTGAAACTGAGACCTAACCAATAAGACATACCGCGGACAGGTGAGAAAAAAACAAATAAACGTCTGGAGAATGACCTCAACGTCTCGATGTTGCCTAATTACAAACAGCAATTTTCGGTTTCGAATCAAATACATGAAATAAATATAAACAAAATTTGTACAGATACACTCAATATAGGGTTTATGATTAGCACGGCTACCTAAAACATCAATCCTGTCAGGTTGAGCCACTTATGTCCACACCCAAAGCAGGTCGCTTTGGAACACCACAAGATCCCATATTACCACCGAAAACGGTCACCAATTGGTCTACTGATCAGCATCTTCAGAACATTCTCGACCGAAAAGCTATCAGTCCTGTCTGTGTTTTGGTTCGCTTCATCTGGGCTATGCGCACGTTTTTCTACTCCGGTTCTAGGGACGAGATAGCAGTCATCACGCGCTGCACCAGCTCGTTCTTTGACAGGTTGGTGACGCTGTCGTCATCCGGCAGGATAAACACGTGGCGCATTTCACCCTCGGCCCCGCCAGCCACATACACACTTCCTTACGTCATATTGTTTCTCGCCACGAGATCAAAGTTCAAAAGGTCGTGATGTAGGTAGTCTCCGCCCAGCCCGAGTCAGGTACTCCGCCGGTTGGTCGGGTGCGGCCAGGTCCGCGCAACGCCGCCCTACTTCAGTCGACGCTCTGGTTGACAGGGATGGCGTCATACAGTTGCCTGTCGACTAAACAGCGATTCAAGACGCCATCCTTGGCCCTCTGAAGCCGATCCCCGCAACGACCAGTGTTTGATCCTTGGTTGACCTGCAGCAAACAACAGAACACAATAATTAGGACATTTGTGGACAATAAATTAGGAAACTATATGTGTTATTATTCCCCTTGTTCAGCAACTATTAATTTTAGAATGTATTTAATAAAAAATTAAATACTTAATGTCACTTAAATTTCCACTGAACGCCACCAGGTGCGCCAACAACTGTCATCTCATGCAATTATATAAATTCTGCCAAAAAAGTAGATCTGAGGCCAGTTGTACCAACAGAAAAATAGGTGACTGCTGGATTTTTTTTTTTTGTTTAAAAGTTACTTCACATACAGAGCATGAACGGTACAGCCCTATCCTTTTACGTGCCCATCATGTTAACGCTCCATATGTGAAACAGTCTTAAGGCAAAAAATTTCAGCAGGCAGCTATTTGTGTTGATAAAACTGGCCTCTAAAATTAACTTTGGCATGGACAATCCTGAAAATTAACTATCCAGCATTCCCTGGACTGCCGTACATTAGACACATAATTTTCTTGAAGATCACGCATAATGTAAATATGGCTTACACCATTCAGCAACTTGCTTTTGTTACACTTAAAGTAAGCATCATTAAATATGTAGCAAAAATCGGCGAAGCAATTACAAGCCAAGCATACATACCTACTATTTAGATAAGGCAAACACGAACATGCACTACGACCTTTCAATCTTGACTCGGAACAAGTCAATAACCTAGTTGCCATTAAAAATTTAAATGCTACAAATTAAAGTTGTAGCAACAATTGGGTGAGTGAGACACAAGCAGAGGCTAAAACATCCAAATTATGTAAAATACTGGACATGCACTGCCCCCATTTCATGAGTCCACCCAACAATTCTATCAGGTGAGACAAAACATTAGGCTTCTTGTACCTAATTTATACCGTAACTTTTAAAGGACATCATATTTCACTGAAATACTACACCTAAGACATCATTTTCAAAAAAATATAGCTTAAAAAGACAATAGAAGAGTGAGAAGGCGTCCCGCGCCGCTGACGTCGCTACCGCGCCATGTTCCTAAAACCATCTCTTAAAACGAGTTTTCGGTAAGAAACGTTAAGATCACATGCCTGAAATTGAAAAACACACTTCAAAGTATCTTAAAATATGATCCATTGTTACTTACACGTCAGAAAAGGTCGCTTAGACAAAATAAAACCGGGAGCACTACGTTGCATCCACACACCCACGACGCCGGCGCGAAATGGCGGGAACCGGAAATCGTGGCTAGATACAAAGAAAAAGAATATTTCTTATAAATGAATTATACAACTAAATAACGCATTTTTTATTTTCTTTTAGACAAAATTATGAAAAAAATACAAAGGCTCGTCGTTAATGATAAACAGAGCAAGTTTTATCAGCACGTTTTTGTTGAATTATGGCGGCGAAATCTTTATGCCATTCGTAAAGGTACGCGCGACAAACGGCTGATAGCCATGCAGCGAAAAATTGAAGCGGGGAAGTTTTTTGTTTTGACTTGTCAAAAAATCTCGCCGTCATGGGGGTTATTTCCGCCGTAACGGGTCGTCTGAAGGTGGGAATGTCCCAAATTGAATCAAAATATTGATTCTATGCCCATATATGGTCAAAGCTCCGCCCACTAGAATCAATATTTTGATGCCTCCATATTTTGATTCCCGCCGCCTAGTTTGCCCAACTGAGTTAACATGTTAAAATAGGCCCTGGAGCCACCAACAGGCACAATTGAGGTCAAACATGTGTTGAAGCAATATATTTCAGGCAAGGCTAAGCACTAGCTAAAGATCAGTGAAAATATGCTGACAAATACACACCCTCCTAGACAATGACCTCCAGACCAGCTGCCAGGGCTTCAAGGTTGTCCACACCTTTGAACATTTGCCTGCCTCATACTTATAACCCCTTAACAATTTGAAATTCATAAACTACCAGAATCACTTTCAATCCCAAGGGTAAATAAACATAGGGAGGAAACTAGGTCACATGCCACATACCACAAAACGTTGCCCAAGTTTCCCATCCTCGGCTCTCGAGTCACGTCTCTGAAATGCAGCTGGCGTCTTGAGCATTTTGCGGAGGCGTTGCCAGTTGCGGAGGCAAAGTTCGTGGACGCGTTATATTACGTAATAAAAACTTTGTTAAGAAATGTTTGTCAACAATTACTTTTAAACGTAATACCATGTCATTTTTATGTTACATAAATTAAAAATATTGTGTAAAAATCTGGTTTAATACGGGTTTCTGAAAAAAATCTAGTAATAAGCATCATCAATCTGATAAACAAAGCAAATATCAAATGGGAATATTTTCGATGTAGAGAAACCAGCTGATTTCGAAATATAGAATATAAATGACGTCTTATAAATCATTGGCATAAATTTTGTTCCAAATCTATAAGCAAAATACAATTTTTGATATTTAATGAATATATTATTAACCAGTTTGCAGTATTTTTTATGTTAAACAAATTCGAAACAAAAAATTTGTAAATACGTCTTATAAGACGTATTTACATGAACATCTATAAGTTCGTGATTCAGCATTCAGCATTGCCATCTATAGATGGCCTTGGCCAAAAAAGAGGACAGCCAATTGGGAAAATTGAGAAAAGGGAGAGAAAAGTAATTACTCGTAAAGTGGAATATGACCGCGGTAAAGTGAAAGGTTAATTTCATGTAAAATGCTTGAAGAGGAGTTAGCGGTTGGAGCTAGTAGGAGAAGAGGAATGTATAACAACAGCCCCCCAAAACATATCGAGCAAGCGCCAAGCGGCCGCCCTGCGGCCTGCGCCGAACAATTCAGCCACCGCCATGCGCTGAATTCGCCCGCATGCGAAGTTATGCTGGACGTGCGCTGAACTCTGGCCTCTGGGCCCTGTGCAGGGCGCAATTTGGAGATCTCGTGGCAATGTACCTTGTTTTGCAGTGTTAGTGTCACATGTCTCTAAAATTGACCCAGACACTGAAACACTGACTGACCCACTCCCACTGCCACAGATAATGGCGCGGTTCGACTGTCCGGCCTATAAGCTTCTGGCCGGAGATCTGCACGGCAGCCAGCCGGTTGAGTCCTCCGGCGGTCAGCTGGTGGAGTCCTCTGAGTGGCGCCTGGCCGGCGGCGGGGCACCGCGGCAGCTGCGGCTCGTCTGGCTGCAGGGCGAGCTGAGGAACGTCAGCGCCGACTACGACAGTGCGGCGCTGGTGGATACCTCCGGCTCGGTGCTGCTGACTGGCTGCACGGCGGCGCCTGGGGACCCGCACTGGATGGAGGACGGTGGGTGACCGGGCGGGGACCCACACTGGATAGCTGAAGATGGTGGCTGACGAATTGAGACTGGCACGGCTTGGGACCAATAACGGATAGAGGTATGGGATGAGATTGGGTGGGTGATGGAATGGGGATGGGACGGGGCTGGAGCTAGATCCCCGATGGAGGATGTTCGAGAGAAAACGCACTGACGGCAGCGCGCTTCGGGCTTGGGTAAATCTCGCCACCCACGGCACGTGGTCCACCTGATGCACACATGTGCAATGACCATTGACCGGCCCCGTCAGCGACGCGACGATGACGGCGACACGGCTCCGCCGGCGCAACGGCGCCAGCGTTGTACGTTAACGATCTGTGTGCAACTGCACTATGCAACTTATAATCAAGAAATTTACATCTATTTTCGAACACTTTTGGTCCTCAAGGTGTCGGGTGACGAAATGATCAGATGAAATACGCAGACACGAACTCTGAGTAAACTACACGATTCGCATGAACAGAGGGATAGGGTAAGGCTGTATGGTCCTGGAGGACGGTGGGCTGAGGGACGGGATGGAATAGGGCCGGACGGGAGACTGAGAGAGACCCTGGGTAGAATAACGGCCAACGGGCATTACGGGATCGGGGTGGGTCAGAAAACCGACATTGAAGGCGGATGCTTCGATCGACGAGACCATCGTGTGCGGTGTTATAGGCTGCTGTATCATGTATGGCGTTGCCAGTACGGGCAGGTCGCTACTGAATGGTGGTGAGGAAGCTCACGCATTGCTCCTGTGTTGTCATGTCGCTACTGTATGGCGGTGGGGGAGCCCACGTGTTATCCTGTGTCGACAGGTCGCTATAGTATTGCGGTGGAGGGAGCTGACGTGTTACTCCTGTGTTGACAGGCCGCTACTGTATGGCCGGTGGGGGAGCTGACGCATTACTCCCGTCATGTGTTGACAGGTCGCTACTGTATGGCGGTGGGGGAGTTGACGTGCGGCTCGCCCCCGCAGCTGAGCGTTATCAAGCTGGCGCCTCTGCCGGAGGTCCACCGTCAGATGTGGGAGCTGGAGGTACGGCACGCGCGCGCCCACCTCCTACAGGGCGCCGCCGAGTGATGGCCGGCCGGCCGCCGCGGGCCGCTGGACGCTGGGCTGTGTGATGGGGACGGATCCCTCACCGGTGAGTCAGATGGACCACTGGGCCGGGACCTTCCGCGGCCAGAACTCAGGACTCAGCCGGGCAGACAGTGGGTGAGTCCGTTGCCTGCACCGCTCAGAGCTGTGATAGGAGTTGCGTGGGAACGGTGGACCAGTACTGGCGATAAAGGGCGACGTATCGGGTGCGAAGGGGCACCTAACCTGGAACTTCCATAAGGAATCGTGACATCGTGTTTACAGCCAGCCAAGTGTGGGCTCAACTTTCGTTACACAAAGAGACATGGAACGTCTGTTGGCGAAGTGAACGGCACCTGTCAATTCGTGATCCGGAATTTGACGCCAAGCTTGACATTCCGGCTGTTGATTTATTGTCGCGTGACAGTACTCAGTACTGTTTTGGAAATGCGGCCCTGGTGACTGGAAAAGTGATTAGGCACGACACTTGTCCATCGAAGGGTGGCTCTATTTACCGGCTCCAATGTCGCCCTGCGCCGGTGACGCAGGCAGAACCATCCAGAGCGGCCGCCGCACACAAAGACAACACAAAGAGACTGCGACCGACCGGCCGGGTGCCAGCAGTTGCGCCACTCCGGTCCTGAGGGGTGACTGGAGTCTGCCGAGCCCCGCCGCTGCGGCTGTACCGCTCCGGTGGCGACACTCCGTCCAGAACACTCACCTGTAGCTCGAAGACGACCTCGATCAGCCGCTGGAGCGAGGGCACCATGATGAGGCGCGCCGAGCGCCGCTGCCAGCGTCACCGCCACTGCCGGCGCACCGTCTGTGGTCCAGGAGCGAGCGACCGACCGCGCACGTGCTGCGCCGCCGCGTCCGTCCGCCGCCGACCAGAATAGACGACTGGCGGCCGGCCAGCGGCCAGCTGAGCGCCGCCGCAGCTGCGCGCCGCCGGCGGCCGCCGCAGCTCCGGAGCTGGCCGAGCTGCGGCGCGGAGCTGCGCGCGGGGGGGGGGGAGCTGGGACAGTCGGCCGGTCGGTGTCGCCAAAGGATGGGGTGTGACAGGGGGAGTGGGCTGACTCATGGCCCGGGGTGAGTCATTCGCGACAGAACGGCCGCTACAAATTTACTCCGCCGTCAGCCGTGGAAGCTAACCAGTTTTGTATCGGAAGCGGCGGCGCGATGTATCCTCTCTTCTCCGTCTGCGCTGCGGCTCAGCTAAACTGGCTCCCCGGTTTGATTGATACGCTATCGATGTTCAGTCATTAACCGTGTCTTTTATGGTGATATTGTGGTGACGCCATAACACAGTTCTAAGGATCAGGGACATTGTTGGTCCGTTTTCCGGCCTGTGTCGACGTTAGCTGTCATTCGATAAGGGCGTGAGCATATTATCGATGATCCTCTGCCAATTTCCATACGGCCGGATCCGTTCCGGGTGAAATGATCCACTTTCTCTGGCCTCTTGTGTCCGGTTTCCTGTCTTCATGCTGTGCCCCATGACTGATGAGTTGTCTCTTCTATCGCCTGTCTCCGTCCACTCCCTCCCCCGCCCCCCCCCCCCCGCCCCGCTCCTCCTCCCCGTCTCGGTTTGTTGCTGCTGACTGCGGCGTCCCGTCCCTGTCAGGTGTGTGCTGTCACTGACGGGCTCGGAAGTCGGAGCCGGTGACAGCCGTCACACTTTGTGACAGGCGTGCGCCAGCTGTCTCACAACTGTCATCTGCCAATTGGCCCAGGGGTTAGGTCGTAAGGGACCTGATACGGCTGTGACTTGTGTGTGATCAGTGTGGCGTGACTGTGAACTTGTGCGTAACAAAGGTTGTGTCAGTGATTCAGTGATAATGACCCATGGCGGTCGGAGCGGGATCAATAAACTCGCATTGATCACCACTTGTGTCGAGTTTCCTGTTTAATCCGTGTCGTGTGAGTGTCCGCCGTTCGCTGCCGTGTCGTCCTGACTGAATGACGGAGGGACCGACTGACGGAGGGCAGGGGGGTCCGGAGTGGTAGTGTTCCACTGTCCGAGTCACACTCACAACCCGTCCCCGCGGCGGCACAATGTTCTCACGGGCCGCCTATTAATAGGGCCCGTCGGAGCTGAGGCGGGGGTCGGGGTCGGGTCGGCCGGTGGTGGCCGCCCACTCTGCGTCCTGCAGTGTCGGCGCAGGGAGCTGTGACCTCAGCGGCTCCCCAGCCGACCCCAGACACACCGGCAGGGACAGCGGAGCGCTGAGGAGCTCGGCGGGTCGCCATGGCGCTCACCAGCAGGTAATGCGAGCTCGGGGTCCGTGCATTTGTCGATATGGGACTGTTTGTTTGCAAAATGGGTTTGGAGGGTGATTGTTTTGTTCCTAATCACTACTTTAGGACTGCTGTCTTGATTGTCACCCCCATTTTCATAATTAGGAAGGAATAGTGTTTTATTCTCACACCTGATTCTCCATGTTTACTTTCAGTTGCTGATGCGCGTTTGTCCGTGACCTTACATCCAAACCAGATTTATTCCCAATAAGCTTCAGTTGTGTTCTCGCCGGGAGAAAAACAATGATTCCCAATAAGCTTCAGTTGTGTTCTCGCCGGGAGAAAAACAATGGTCGGACTGAACGCACGTTTCTTCCAGCATGTTCTGACTCTGAGTGGTTTGTGACGCCTCATACATTTGGCTGTCGAGCCGCGTCTGTTTTTATGACCATTAATGTTATCGGATTGAATAGAATCAAGGACGTTTTAGAAGCGGCGGCTATTGTGTGATGTATCGAGTGACTCGAGTCACGAACGCAAATATCAGTCTGTCTTCTCTCTCCCCTCTCTTCTCATCACTCACTCTCTCTCTCTCTCTCTCTCTCTCTCTCTCTCTCTCTCTCTCTCTCTCTCTCTCTCTCTCTCTCTCTCTCTCTCTCTCTCTCTCTCTCTCTCTCTCTCTCTCTCTCTCTCTCTCTCTCTCTCTCTCTCTCTCTCTCTCTCTCTCTCTCTCTCTCTCTCTCACTCACTCACTCACTCACTCACTCACTCACTCACTCACTCACTCACTCACTCACTCACTCACTCACTCACTCACTCTCTCTCTCTCTCTCTCCTCTCTCTCCTCTCTCTCCTCTCTCTCCTCTCTCTCTCTCTCTCTCTCTCTCTCTCTCTCTCTCTCTCTCTCTCTCTCTCTCTCTCTCTCTCTCTCTCTCACTCACTCACTCACTCACTCACTCACTCACTCTCTCTCTCTCCTCTCTCTCTCTCTCTCTCTCTCTCTCTCTCTCTCTCTCTCTCTCTCTCTCTCTCTCTCTCTCTCTCTCTCTCTCTCTCATCAATGGCCCTGGCCACTTGGAGCGGCGCCCGGTATCTGAACCGCGGCCGATCGTATGCAGCCTTGAACCCGGACCTCGGATGACGCGCATCGATCTAACCCCGCTGTGCCGCTCCAACCGACCTGACCGCCCCGACCTGACGATGGAGTACCATCAGCTCCACCGCGAACCGGGCTGTACCTCGGGACTGGTCCAGGTCACGCTAGCCTTCACTGTGATACTGACCATGACCTTGGCCGTGACTCTGACTTTGACCTCAACTGTGACCCTGTGCCGTGACCTTGTGCCTGACCCAGCTCTTGACCTTGTGACCGTAAGTTGACCGTGGCCTTAGACCGTGGCCCTGATTGAGTCCTTAACCGTGACCTGAATCGTGTCCTCGACATTGACCTAAACCGTGCCTCTGTCGTGTTCCGTCACCCGGTCCCATGTCATGCCCATGTTTTCTGCCGTGACCTACCCCCCCCCCCCCTCCCCCGCCGGTCGGCAGGACGGCCTGGCGCGACATCCGCTCACCGCTGACGGAGGCTGACCTGACCTGACCTGACCTGACCTGACCTGACCCGACCCTTTCCGCTGGGCAGGACGGCCTGGCGTGACATCCGCTCGCCACTGACTGTGGCTGACCTGCGCGCTATGCTGGTGGCGCCCTCTCGCGGCGTCATAGCCTTCCCATCGCGGCCATACGACGAGGTCTACCCGGGCATCATCATCGGAGACTGGTGAGAACTGGTGTCCGTTGGTCGGTCACCAGCTCATAACACAATGGGGTTAACGACCACTCGACTGTAATCAATAACCCAATGTTGATTCAGGCGCGCGGAATTGTAAGCAACATGTGATATCGAAAACAACATATTGCGTAATCGGTCACATGTCCTTATATGTCAGCAATCAGCATTCGTCCGGTCAGCTGCGGTATGGCCAGCCTTTTTTACCTCATCACCTCACATGATCAGTGGTCTCGTGATTCAACAACCGTTCGACCAAGTATGTGATTAGACTTATAATGTGGTATCTGATCTCTGAACTGGTGCGCCGTTGTGTACATTCCGCTCCTTCTATACTGGTTTGCGGGGAGCTGTGGACTGTCATCTGACCCTCCGTAATGACCTCACCGCCGTGGGTGGTTGGTTTTCGTACATCGCTCCGTGACTCACGGTCCGACCGTTCCGTGACGGCCATCCTCGCGGTCCGTCGACCGTGCCTCGAACGCCCGGTGACCAAAAACAGTAGGCGGGATGGCTCCTTAATGAGTTGACATTCGGCATGGCCCCGTGCCAGGGACGGAGTGACTTAAACTGACGCTGCGGCGGCTCGGACAGCGGCGCGGGCAGACACGGACGGAAGATATATAGACAGAAACACACACCAGTCACATGGGGCCACCCGGACGGACACAGAGACGGACAGACAGCAGCTGTTGACTGTTGCCATGCATTATATAAAGCCCTGCCTGGCCCGCTGGTTATCATCTGATCAAAGCTGCAGCGCCGTCGCGGCACTGCTGTTATAGTGCCCTCGTAGCATTCGTCATGTTTTATTCACTTTACCATAAACGGATCATTATGTAAGTACCAAACACGGGTCCAGCCCCGGACGCTCGCCGAACGCTACATTGATATCCGTCATGTCCCTTAGCAACTGACGTCTCTGCGGCTGCGGATGGGTAGGCCCCCGACGCGGCTGGGACAGGATATGGGGACAAGGTATGCATTCTCTATCCTGAGGACGTAGGACTGAGGTTAGACCTCTGGTCGGTTCGACTCGGACTCCGAGACTTCGAGCCTGGCGACTCTGAGACTGATGGTCAGACGGCTCTATAGGGGGTACACTGACGGGTAGACCCCGTGGGGTGATGGTCCGCCTCCGACAACGACTGACGGCCAGCTGTGTGCCAGTGGCGCCTCTGGCGGCCGGTACGGAACTACCGGTCCGCGCCGGCGCGAGCTCGGTACTTTTTCGGTGCCCGATGCACGCCTTTGTGAATGTTAGTAAGTATTACCACCTTGTCGATTCAATGAGGTAACCATAACAGGCAAATTTTGATGATTTTTATTCACTTTGACATCTCGGTCATGACAGGGTAGGTAGCCGTCAAAACGTGATTAATAGCCAAAGAGCCACCACTGACCGCTCGACTGGCGCCTCTGCCGGCCGCCGCAGCTCCACCGCGCTCTGCCTGCCTCTGCTCCGCTCTCTGCACGTGACCCACGTGCTGAACGCGGCGCTCGGGCGCGGCGGCGGCGCCGTCTCCTTGCGGGGTCACGTGGCGACCTCAGCCGGCTACTACAGCGAGCTCGGCGTCCAGTTCCTGGGCCTCAGCGCCCTGGACGTCCGGGGATTCGACATCTCGGTCCACTTCGACAAGGCGGCTGAGTTTATTGCAGGAGCGCTCAGAGACGACGGTGGGAGGGAGTGGTGGTCTGGCCGAGACGCCGCTTCAGCTGACTGCAATTGCTGTCCGGGCTTCAGCTAACGGCATGGGACCCGCGTTATATGCCCTGCGTGCTCTGTATGAATTATGATGGCTGTCGCGTGAGTGGCAAAGCTGATGCGCGCTGTGGACTGTCCTCTAAGCCTGGCTTTGGCCGCCTGTTGTTTGGTTCGAGACTGGAACCCCATCTGTGTCGCCGTGTGGCTCGCTTTTGGTGGCGTCACAGCTCTGCACAAACACACACACCGCTGACACACCAATCGTGCGGCTGCACCTGGGTGCACTGCGCCGTGCAAGCAGCTATTCCGACCGCCGTCTGCTGGACTCCCTGCCTTGTTGTCTCGGAGATGTGTCGTCATAATGGCACAGCGCACGCAGAATGAAACCAGGTTTGAACACAAGAAAGAGGTATCCTTCCAGAGGAACGAAATCGTTGGGCGATGGAGCAGACCACTCCTACAAGACGGTGCGTTTTCTGTCACTGTTAGGAGACTGAGGCGCCCAGTTTGGACGGAATACAGGAAGACTGGTAGGTCGAGGTACCGACAGCGCCGGCCAAGGTGGTCACAACACTCGCCAGACCAGGTCGCTGCAGGAGCGGCACGATCACTATATCCGCTGTACCCTGCGGTTGACCTGGTCGCCCATCTACCCAGCCAGAAAGGGCCTGCCTCCAATATATGTCAGCTGTCTGTCCTCGGTGGTCTATTCAATGCACCGGCCCGGTGCGGTGTCGTGACGGCTAATAGTCGACGGACTCTAGCATATGACCCAGAGGCGCCCCCAGCGGCCGGGACTGGCGACTGAGGGTGTGTCGAACTTCACCGCTTCATTGGCGCGAGGTGCACTCTCACTGTTGCCGGTCAGAAAAGATGCACTGTGACAGCTTCCATTGCATATACCTTCAACAAGTGGGCTCTTCCATTTCTTATCATTTCCCTGTCAAACATTCTTCCAATCCAGGATTTGCTTTCGCAAGACATGCATATTGCATGTATATTTAGCTGCCATTCTCTCTGGGCTGCCGTTAGATCTGCTCTAGATCTAGGTGACAGGTGCCGCCGGGTGCCGACCTGTACCCTTTGAAGGCCATACCACAGCTCCTCTGCTGTTTGTGAGTCCTGCCAGTCATTCCCCGTGCCGTCCCGCTCCCACCCCAGACCGGGCCGTGTATGTGCGGCGGTGTTCGACAGCGTCAGACCGTGAGGGTGCACAGGGGACGATTATGCGGCCATCGCTGAGCGGGCCGGTCACGTGAACGGTCACGTGCCAGTCGACCCCCCCCCCCCTCCGACCCCCGGCGGACGGGTCGACTCCAGGGCCGATGTACCCGCTGACCTCAATAATGACAGCTCTGGGTAATGAGGTAGCACGATGCGGTGGAAGGGAGCGAACAGAAAGTGATTTCAATTAAGGCATCACAGTTACCGTTGCGGACTTCAAAAATGACAGCTGTTCCAGGGGCTGAAAGCATGCATTGCGACCAACGACACATGCAATATTGTCATGTGAGCAGTAAATATCAAGTACATCATGCACAGCACACGGTCATTTCTTGATAATTTCATAGCTGAATGATCACAGCCATGAACCGGAGCTAACAATAATCACCAACCATTTATTACCCAACGGACAGACCGAACCCACTATTTTGCAATGTGGCTTTGAGTTCGCCTGTAAAGATGGTGCTTATTGGAAACTCTTCGAGTCATGTAACTTCTTGTCAGTTCAGTAACATTAAATGTCTGCAGCATATGAAGTAAGTGTTACAGACATTCTTATTTATGCGCTCTGACGCGAGTTAACTACTACCTGGTATGTGGTTCTGACTTCTGTCCAACCAAGATAATTCAGAGCTCTGATCGTGCCCGGTCCCCTGAGCTGCTGTGGCGACATCTATGTATAGTAGCGATAGTGCTGCCACCTGCCTGGCGCTGTCTGCAGCTGGATGGCCACGGACCCGGTGATTCTGGAGTCGCTGCGCGTCTCGGCGGTGCTGAACGCCGCCCAGGGGATCGGCCAGTCGCACCTGGTCGACACCGACTCGTACTTTTACGAGCGCCGCCGGCTGCCGGTCAAGTTTCTCGGTCTGCACGCCATCGACGCCGACTGGTACCGGCTGGAGGACTGGTTCCAGGTGGCGGCCGACTTCATCCACGAGAGCCGGCGCAGCGGTACGGGCGCGCCGCGGCTGCTGCCCCTGTCCCAGACCCCTTCCCGGGCGCTGAGGTCGGCGGGGACCGGTGGCCTCGGGTGCGGCGCCGCGGCCGGCGCAGCTGTGAGCGGTGCCGCCGGGACGGCCGACCGCACCCGGCCGCCGGTGCAGCAGCTGATGCATGGCTTCGTCGGCGGCCGGCGGACACGACACGCCTGGCCGGCCGACCGACCGCCGCCGACCGGCGTGGCTCGGCGCTTAGCACCGCTTCCCGGAGCCCGGACCTCGGCCGGACTTTTGCGCCGCCGCCGTGACTGTGGCGCTGTTTTCAGTGCATTTTGTGGTCTTTGTTCATGGCAGCTGTCATCGCCTGTGGTAGGTACTAACGGGGGCAAGACATGCAATTATGGTCAAATACCTGCTACTCATATCGCAGTTAGCAATCTAAAAGGCAATCAGATTAAACATCCAATTGAAATGTAACAACGTCATTCACTTGAAACAAAGCCTGACGACTGAACTATGTGACTCGGCTGCCATGTTGCCCATCTGTGTTGGACCGTGGTGGTACTGCGGGTCCGGGCCGACTCTGTGCAGGATCAGCGCCCTGCGGTCAGCCGGCCCGGCTTGGCCCGGCCCGCGCACCACCAGCTGACCTTGACCGCCCACCGGCGGCCGCGATCCTGCCGCAGGGAAAGTGCTGGTGCACTGCGTCCAGGGCCTGAGCCGCTCGGCCACCCTGGTCATAGCCTACCTCATGATCAAGCTGCACATGTCGCTGTCGCAGGCCCTGCAGACCGTCAGGTGAGCGAGCTGATCTTACAGTCGGTGTCTGTCACAGGCCCTGCAGACCGTCAGGTGAGCGAGCTGATCTTACAGTCGGTGTCTGTCGCAGGCCCTGCAGACCGTCAGGTGAGCGACATCTTACAGTCGGTGTCTGTCGCAGGTACTCCACACTGTCAGGTGAGGCGTCACAGGCCCTCCGGACTGTCAGGTGAAACCGCACACACTGACGGAGGCCTGTGTGACAGAGGGCAGGCCTTCCAGACTGTGAGGTGTGATCTCGTGACAGGGGACTGATAAGGCCCTACTACAGACAGTCGTTGAAACCTCACACACTGACAGGGGCGTTGTCACAGGCCCTCCAGACTATCGGGTTAAGTCTTACGGACTTTCAGGGGTTGTCAGCTTGTCAAGAGACCGGAGTTCTGCCATAGGCTACTAGATAATCAGGTGAGCTTTCGGTGCCTTCATAATTTCAGGTTAGGTCGTCACTCGTCAGGCGAGTGTTGTCGATCTCACAGGCTCAGCCTGTTAGGCAGTTCTCACAGACTCAAACTACCAGGTGAGACCGTTCTTGCACGTTCTCAAAGACTCGAGCTGCCAGGTGAATCAGCTCTCACAGTCTCAGACTACCAGGTGAGTCATCTCCGACAGTCTCTGAGGCCCCCGGCGCGTCGTGTCGGTGTCAGGGTCACTTGCAGACCGTTCACTGACTCCTGACGATATCGCAGCCACTGCTAAAGGTCAGCTGGGCGCGCTAGCAGCCGATTAACTAACTGCCCTTCAAGTACCGCGAGAAAAACCCGTTCTTTGACTCTGCTCGTCACGATTCCGGCGCAGTTTTCACTTTCAGTGTGACGGCGATGGCTGGAGATGCACTGTTGATTGCCGGAGTGCCGGAACCGCCACAATATGCCCAACTGTGAAGCAGTATTTCGGCTGGGAGTTTTTACCCCGGTTTCCGGTTTAGCAGGCGGACCGTTGAGCCGTTTCTGAGCGGTTCCCAGTGTGGGACCGTTCCGCCCAGCTCGCGGCGCGCGCCCAAGGTCGGACTCGGCTCGTCACTGACGGCCCGCTCCTCCCCAGGGCGCGCCGGGAGATATTCCCCAACGACGGCTTCCTACAGCAGCTGATCCGCCTCAACAACCAGCTGATGGACGCGCGACGCGTCAACGTGTCCTGGCTGTGAGCGCCTGGCGGCGGCGGCGGCGGCGGAGAGGGGCGCGCGGCGGCCCCGGTGCCGGGGCAGACTGCCTGACCTGTGACCAGAGTCCTCCCTCTGTGACTGATACCTACTGGCCGTCCAGCCAGTCGGACCTTCGGACGGCTCTGAGTGACCCCGACCCCGACCCCCTGTCCCATCTACCCCTCTCATCCACCAGTCCCTCCATCCCTCCTCGGCCTGCCGAACGACCGTTACCGCTGCCCCCAGACACAGCGCGTGTTCATCGGCTTATTGCCGCCGCAAAAACGTCTTCATTGCGCCACGATTGTCGCAACCCCCGGCCGCCGAGACCCCGGCCTCTGTGCAGTGCCGTCAGTGGAAGATCCCACTGGTCGTGGATAGCCGAGCGTGCCGTCCCGATGTGCTGTGATATCGGTGTCTCTCCGCGGCGGCTGAGCCCCTCCAGGTCACACCCCGGCCTGTCAGCGCCGGCCACAGACAGCAGTGATGTTCTCTGAATGTATTTACAGTCACTTCATACAAATGTAGGCATGCTGGGACTAGAAATATCCATCTGTGGACCGCAGGAACACCGTGAAAACATGCACAATTACGCACCGATTTTAAAAACACCGCAAATTTCACTGTCAATTTCCGTGTAAAAATATGCATTAAAACAAAACAAGACCATAAAAGATGTTCACTTCCCTTGTTCTGTACAAACAACACAAGCGCTCGCGTGAGTGATAATCGAAGAAAACATGCACGAAATGGGAATAAAAACGAACGTCGCCTAACACTCGGACACTGCGTTCCGCACTGATGCCCAAATCGAGATATGGATAATGCGAATCACGTTTAAAAAGGGCCGCCGGGTGAAAAACCGCGCGGCCGGCGGGTCGTCGCCGACCTATCACGCCAGCGGGGGCGCCATTTTGTACAGTGGTGCCGGGTCAGGGCCGGCCGCCGCCGCCTCGTGCGCCGCGCCTTATGGAGCAGGTACAAAAATAAGCAGCCCGGTGGCGGCCGAGCGGCGGCGGCTGGCCGGCCGGCCGGCGGTGAGCGGGCGCCGGCCTCCACTCTGACGCCGGCTCGTTGTTCCCTCAATCACCGAGCGGGTCCGGAACGCCCCCGGAGAGAGGGGCAACCGGACCTCGCACGGCCACACACACTCCAGTACAACCTCCGAGTCCGGCCGACCCGCCGGACTGGGCCGGAGCAGGACACCGGAGATCAGCGCCGAAACGACAGCCTGAGGTCCGGCCCGGGCGCCGAGTCCGGACTCGGAGCCGACTCGGAGCGGACTCCTGGAGTCCTGGACGCGTCACTGAGCCGGGCGACTCACTCGGAGGGGTTTTCTGAGCAGGGCGAGTCGCCGCTGGGGCTCGACTGTTCGGTGCCGCCTGGAAAACACAGGAGCGGGCCGTTACACCGGGGTCGGGAGGGGTGCAACCAGCTCAGCATCGAGGGCTTGCTGGCGCGTACAAAACCAGCACAGAAAAGTGGAACGATGCTGAACGCAGGTGTTTACTTTTCGCGCCACGAGCGCATGCATAGTCACGGAACAGATTGGTGAACTCAATTTATAGGGTGACAACTGAATAGCGTGACAGACAGCTAGATCCAAGGATTGCCAGTTAAAAGGCAACAAGGAGATAAGAACTTAGCAATTCACAGCAGAAGCTTGAATGACTGATCAAAGGTAGCATGGTGTCATAGGTAGGGCACCCTAAACGTGATCATATCAGTTGAGCGATCTCACCACCCGTCCAGTGCCCGTCACTTCAGCGTCCCTCAGCGATATCGTCGGCGTCCCCCCGGATGATGTGCGGATGATCGCTGACCCCCGTCCTTCCCCACCTATTCCCACCACCCCTCCGTTTCTCTCACCGATATCGTCGGCGTCTCCGCGGATGATGTGCGGCAGCAGCTCCTCAATTCGCGCCTGGTTGGCCGACACGGGCCCCGTCAGCGGGATCTCCGGGAAGAACAGGTGGTCGACGGCCAGCGGGCTCATGCCGCGCAGCGCCGGCAGCCGCAGCAGCAGCTGCTCCAGCCGGTCGGGCTCTGCGCTCCGCTCGGCCGTCAGCTGGCGCAGGCCCTCCAGCGCCTTGCTCTGGAACAGCTCGAGTTGGCGGCGCGAGGCCGGCTCCTGGCCGTCCGGGTGGAACAGCACGATGGCGCGCAGGTGCGCCAGCTCGGCGGCAGACGGTGAGAGCCGCCGCACGCTGGCCACAAACTCCTGGATCATGTACAGGTGCTGCGTGACCTGCTGGGACATAAATGGACGGAGTGCTGTCAAAGGTTTGTCAGCGAACAAAGCATACGACTGGCTCGAGCGTGGATTGGACGTAACAAACTCTGGGGCTGAGGTTTGGAGATGCGGCTATAGTGTATGCACAAAAACTAAAAAGTTTTGAAAGTTCAAAATCCCAACTGTATGGTTGGGGCCATTACTGCGCCGTCAAAAACTTAACATCAAGCTCATGTGCTGATGTACATATCACCCTACATCAGAGACTACATCACATATGTCCTGACATCGCGCCTTCCACCAATCATAGAGAGATTTACTCGGCAACATGCTACGTCACGTGAGATAAAATCATCTTATACGGCTTGCAACGACTTAAGTTCATATCTTTTCATCAAGCATTTAACTGCTTTAATGCTTCTCAACGTCAAGCATATCATTGAAACCCCATTTTTGGTTGAAAGCCCGTCATTTTCAAGTTTACTACACGTTAGATACATACTCTTTAGGGAGGATGAAAGGGGACTTTTAAATGCCTAGAACATTCGGCTTGTCCTGAGACCCGTTGGTTCTCCACCCGTAACATGGAAGTGACCCGAACCCCCACCGCCCCTCCTGCGCTACTGACCAGTCGGAGCCGCGAGACGGGCGTCTTCCTCTCGTGGACGGAGGTGGACAGGTGGTGTGTGACAGCCGTCAGCAGCCGCGGCAGGTCCAGCGCCTCGCGACACTGCACCAGCGCCAGCATAAACAGCTCGGCCCAGCGCGCGCGCGCCAGGCTCTCCTGCACGTCCGAGGCCAGCACCTGGAAGGCGGCGATGCTCTTGGCCCAATTGACGATGGTGATGAGCACACGCGAGCCGATCTCTGTGATGTAGGACGAGTCGAGCGTGCCGCTGAACGGCGGCGGCGTCACCGAGAAGGCCAGCGGCGCGCCTTCGAGCAGCGCGCCCTCCAGCGCCACCACGCCAGAGTCGCCGCCGTCGCCCTCGTCCGACTCCAGGATGCGGGTCAGACGCTCCACCACGCGGCCGACCGCCTCCTTGTCGCGCTCGTCGGAGGCGGCCGCGGAGAGGGGCGGCGGGGGCGCGGCGGCCGCCGGACCGCCCTCCGTCCGACCGTTCTCCGGGACTGGCGACACGGCGCCGGAGCCGACTGGGGAGACAGGGGGCAGAGGGGTCAGAGCTGTCTGTGGGCGGAGGGGTGGGGTTAGAGCCGATTGGAAAAGAGGGTTTAGAGGGGCGGAATATTAGACGAGCTACCGGAGGGCAGAAGGGTGGGATCAGGACCGATTGGGGGCAAGGAAGGAGTCTTTCTACCCGAGAGGAGGCGAGGGTCGTGCCGGTGGGTGGGTGCGCGAGGAGAGACCGTCAGATGTCCAAGTGTGCATCTACATCATAACCTGACCACACAGGCCACGCGATACTGGCCGGGTCCATGTCTAACTAGGTGATAAAGGAGATTTGATTATGCAATCAATAAGCGACATCGAGTTTCAAGATATTGGTATCCGAATCAGGTTTTAGAAGATTCCAGCAATAATAAACGCTTTATGAAGGAGCCTGAAACATGTGATGGGTACTGATGACACCTCAGAATTCCGACCGCTCCCCAGTGGTGGCGGTGATGGGACGACTCACACGCTGACATCCGAGCTCTCCGAGCTGACAGATGGCGCGACATACCGGCTTACACTGCTCATTGCAACAGAACATCTCTAAATCAAGGTCAGGGCCGCCCTGATCACTGACAGCCCGGCGACGGTAAGACCGCCGGGCTCCGCGCGGGGCCCTCCCAATCCGACCCTGTGACCGGGGCCTGGCGCTCTGACAGGATGGGGTGCCCCGGCGTCTGAACACAGGTCGGCTGGTCAGCCGGTCCGATCCGAGAGGAGCGGCCGGGTGCAGTTCGGTCCACCGAGGGCGATGGACACCGGCCGGTGGCGAGGATTAGGACGGAGTTTCAGAATTTCAACACGGCGTCTAACTAATTGAGTTACCGGCCAAACATGCTGGCGCCAGAGCGGACGTCACAAGGTTACACATGAAGGGGAAATATTCATGAAGCTATGAATGCAATGTGTTACCCATCATTCAACCAATCCAAGGCGCAAAAAAGACAGACGAAAAGAATCCAATGCTGAGTGCTGACAGACGATTCTATCATCGATATGGAAGAAAAGTAAGCGTGCTTAAAAGGACCTCAAACAGAAAACATTCAGATAGTTTCAGAGATAGGTAATACTGGACGCTACAAAAACCAACACCAAGTGATGCACTAACACGACTCAACAGTTTGAAAGGCATTCCAAGAAAACACTATGACTTAGCGTCGGATTTATCGAAGAAAGAAGTGAATAAAAAACGGTGTGTGAAAGGAAATAAACCCAAAACCAAGCATGCGTACCTCCATAAACTGGCTGAGTCTTACTTTTTCCTTGTATCTTGCCATATCCTCGCTGCACCACATTCGACTCCATGATGGAGTTGATTCGGTCCTGAAGCGTGAAGCGTGGATTTGACATGTCTGGAGAATTGCGGCTGCCGTTGCCTGGAAAAGGAGCGCGAGTCTTTCAGCACATGATACTCCTGTGAAAAAGATCCCATTTTGAGCTCAGTGCTATTGCATACTAACTAGTATGAGCTGTAAGTCGGTGTTTCCGTTGGCAGTCGTTTCCAGCATTGTTTAATGACTTATCACACCGCAAAGATGCCTCAATATACCTTCACCCACACTAAAACCGTCCACGTCCCCACCCACAGCCGCGCTGGCCGCGCACTCACCCGACTCGGCGCGCGGCGTCCGGACCTCTGCGGCTAGGTGCGGCAGGCTCTCGTAGTAGCGCTGGTAGCCCTGGCTGCGCAGGTCCTTCAGGTCGCTGCGCATCCCCATTTTGAGACACTTCTGCAGTCGGCAGTACTGGCAGCGGTTCCGGTGGTACTTGGTCACCTCGCAGTCCTTTGTGCCGCGGCATTGGTAGCCCAGCTGTTTGCGGATGGAGCGCTTGAAGAATCCCTTGCAGCCCTCGCAGCTGATGGCGCCGTAGTGTCGTCCCGAGGCGCGGTCGCCGCACACCACGCACATGTCGATGTTGACGGCGGCAGAGGAGGTGGTGAGCCGGTCAGTGAGCAGGTCGGTGATGGGCGCGCCGGCGTCCAGCTCCTTCAGCCGCGCCGCCCAGTCGGCCGTCAGAGACATGTTGGGCAGCGTCGTGCTGCTGGAGAGAGGAGGCGGGGAGGTCAGAGAAGGGTATGGACGGCAGAAAGGGCGTCAACCGGACCGAGTGGTGACCAACTTAGATACCGACCACCGGAGAGGGACACATATACAGACTCATGTCGGGGAGGGGCACAAGATGCATACGGTGGGAGAGGGCGACATCATGCAGGCGAATCACAGAGGGGCACAAGGTACAGACTAAAGTCAAATGTGGACACAATGCACAGAATCGGGTAGAGCAGGAACGCAATTATATAGACTCCAGCCACACTGACAGATGTTACTTCCATGACAATCGCTGAACAAATGAGTTTGCCTAAGACAACTTTTCACCACCGAACACCTACGCCAGCGTTCTCACCGCGCAATGGATAGCAAGGGGAAACTTCTGAGATATTGCAACGCACATCATGCAGAAACCAGCTTATTTTGACGCACCAATTAGCTCGTATAAGCACTCGAGAGCGCCACCGGCACGTCGGGAGCCGCCGCGCTGTCTGGACAGAGCCGCCGGATCCGACACCGCCCGGTGGCGCCGCCCCGGGTCGGGTCGGCAGTGGTCCGCTCCGCTCGGACCGAGCCGTGCACGGCGGCCGACACCGCCGGACGGAGGAAAACGGCGGCGGCAGCGCGGCCCCTCTGACGCCGAGCTCGGGTCATTTGACAGCGCGCTGCAGGAAAACCCGACCCCCGCCGCATGACCGCCGGCGCGGACGGCGGGTTCACGGACACCGGCCATTGTACCCGCTCCAGGAAAAGTCGGACCGTTTTTTCGCCGCCGCCGGCCACACTAAGATGTCAGTCGTGGCCGGACTGTGACGGCTACAACGCCGACAAGGAGTGACCTATCACGACCCCGTCAATGACCCGCTGATGGGCGGAGAGGGGGGCAGCAGCACGAATGTCAAGCCGCCCTTTCACCGAACCGTTTGCACGAAAGCAACATCACCTTTCTGGCAATGACGCGATAGCAGGTCGTTCCCACGTGCGATTCACAGTAGCCACGCAACGTGTCACGTCATTAGCGCCCGTGGTATGCCAAAAGGCGCAAACACCTATTTTTGGTGAACACTGAACAGAGAGCATGAGGTCCAAAGTCAGGCCAATATCATTATGGGTACTGCAGACAAGATAACTGAGAATCGTACAACAGGATATTCCGAATCAGCCTACCGCTAGGCGCTATTCAAAGCGAAGGCATTTCTTGATTTCTTGATTTCTGAAAGTTGAAACTTGAACTTCTGACAGAATCCACCAAACCAAAACCGCTAAAGATTGACTTAGCCTTTTTCACTTAAGGACCCTCCCACCTTAACATTAGATTTGAGTTGAGATAGTCAAAATGGGTTCCCTGGCTCACAATTACCGGTTTCGGCACTCACAACATCGAGAAATGCCTTAAATCAGAAATATTGAATTTCAAAATTGCAGCATTTTGATTCAGAGGGGCTAATGCTTAGGAATACCCCTCTGAATGTGTGACGTCAGCGCAGATATCTAACGATTTTTAAATGTTTGACTAAAACGTTTTGTAGCACGCGGTGGTATATGCTATTTGCGCGCAATATCTGCCGCAAACGCCGCACTTCTAAAATAAAGTCGCTAGAAACAGCGGAGATCCAAAAAAAGTAAACAAAAGTAAAAGTCTAATATCTTGAAAACCGGTGAATATTTTTCAGTGAAATTTGGTAGATATTCGTTTTCGCTCTTTCTGAACCGAGCGACATCACTTTCATGCCAATTCATAAACTTTTTTGAAGGTGGGAGGGTCCCTTTAATTAAACCTTGCATTATGAACTCCTCTATGGCCTTGAACTCCTCATTACTCCTAAGGCGATAAATTCAGAATGAATTTGAATACGCACCACAATAAAACCCCAGTAAAATCACAGAGCGGCTTCGGTTTTATGCTGATTGGGAAGGGCTTGGGATCCATGGCACAGATTTCCATGACGGCTCCCGGCTTGGTAATCTTCTCGGCCATCTCTGAAGCTTGATCCATCGCAAATAAATGCCCAAGATCAGGGCCCAAGATTGTAAGCAGATAGCTCAATACATATTCTCCGTAACAAACTGGAAAAGACTGACAAATTTCGACCCAGTTGCGATACACACGAGCCCGATACGCAGGTCCCGCAGGTCAAAGGTCAACGGCCCAGCACGCGCAAGACTGCGCCAAAATCGAATTATCTGCGTCATATTAAATGCTCAGTAGTACTACCATATGACAACGGAGAAAACTTCATAATATTTCTTTACTGTATATTCGCACATAGAGCATTGAAAATAGAAAATAAAAGGGAATAGCGATCACAGTTTCGTGGTTGGACAACAAAAGAACTATATGATCAAACAGTCGAGAGTTCTCAACAGTGTAGGTCGGCTAGAGCCACAGCATGAGCATGCAGTGAAGTGTGAACATACAGGCGCCAATACGAGCAAAATTTGCGACTCCTCGTGACTGCACAGTTGCCAGTTTCCACTGTCGGGCTCCGACGGAACCTTCCTTTTCACACCAGACACTCGGCTGGTTCCCTCTGTTCTGTCTCTGACAGCTGTTCCGTCTCAGCGGCTGCAGCAGCAGCTGCAGTTTGTGCGGTGCCCGGGGAGCGCGCCGGCTGCTGCCAGCTGAGCCCACTTGACCTCTGCCCTGGCGGCCCTGGCCGGACGCCCGCAGCAGTCACCTTTGACCCGTGACCCGGCCGCCGTAAATGTCAGCGCCGCGCCGCGCTCGCCGCCGACCGGTGACCTCGCCGCCCGGCCGGCGGCGGCTGACCCGGCCGGTCCGCAGCTGTAGCCGGTCCGGGTCGGCCCGCCGCACTGTCAGTTGACGGTACGGAGTACGGTAACCTCCACAGTCCACAGCAATACCGACACGCCCTGTGCACCCGGCACCCCCACCGGTGTGCCTATATACCTTGCCTACATACCTACCTATTTATACGCCCACAAAGGCGGGCGCCAGCAGCTCGTAATGTCTGCAGCCCAGGGAACTAGCCTAACAGCTAGATTTTAGATAATCCTTATTTACCATTTCCAGAATGCTCTCTCTGAAAACCGTAGGTGTGATGTAGGTGTCTCCAGACCGTTACAGTGCGTTGTACCTATAAGGCAGGTTCCGCCGCCTTCCTGCAGTCCCCCGACATTGGCGTCCGTCGACAGCCGGATTACCTGAAGGGTGATGACGTCATCGACGTCATGGCCAGGGAGGTGCCCAGGATCGAGTTGCCGTTGACGCTATCGTTCATCGAGTCGTCCATCGCCGACGCCGCTCCATCGCCTGGGGGCACGGCGCGGGGTCACGTAAGTAAATAAGCTGTGACAAACACTTGGTTGTGCATATCAGACGGAATTTGAATCGCTTATTTGCGACTGTACCTAGGTACCTAAATCTTTATGTTGTAACAAACACCTGATTGTGCATATTAAACTGAATTTGAATCTCTTATCTGCGACCGACAAAAAAAAAACAGATACCTCTGGATTCGACAGAGGCCGGATCCGTTCAGCGGGAGCTGTGCCGAGGTCTCACGGCCGGTGGGGGCGGGGGGGGGGGGGGGCGTGGTGACCGTCGTTCCGCCTGGTCCGACCTCGCCGACGGGGCCGCCATCGGACCGACCAGGAAACGCACCCGCGCCGGGCACGCCCAAAGTCCGGGGCGTCCGTCCGTCCGGACCGGACCGGCGCGGCTCTCCGGGTCCGGGCCGGTCGGTCAGCGGGCCCGGTCGGTCGCGTGTCAGCTGCTGTGACCTTGGTCGGTCGCGGCTGGGGCACCGGCCGGCCCGCCGCCGGCTGCGGCCGCCCGCGAGGCCCGGCGCCGCGCGCCCGCCGCTCGGGAAAGATGGCCGACCCAGGGGGCTCGGGGCACGCGAGCCGCACCGCCCCGCGCCTCGCCGGGAAAGGTGGCACTGACGACGGCGGGGGCAGGGGCGATGACCTGCGCGTGGTACCCCCTCTGATGCAACGTTAGGGGGCCGCCCTGACGTCAGTCAACCCGAGGACATCAGCTGATGACCAGCTGATCAAGAGCATCGGCTGGACACCAACAGGCATGTCTCCAGAATCGAGTCAAGATTTCATTGCATAGCGTGCTCCAACTCATAAACCAGGTGCACATCAGCCGAACATGACACGAGCGTCGGACAATGATCCATAACAAGCGAGGAAGAGGAAAATGTGCAATGTGCTGCGGAACTGGGACAGCGCGTGATGGGCCGTGTGACACGACAAAGCGCTCCCTTGTCCCGGTCTGGGAGAGCGACGCGGCGCTCTCGCATCGGTCACACGGCAATAATGCGGCCTCCGTCTTTGTTACTTTTTGCATCGTTTCTTGCGCGGCCCTTTGAGACGGAAATGTTCAGGAGAAACAAAATTTGGTTAAAAACAGTTCCCAACAGCAGTTGAACAAAGTTAAGCACTACATTCCTCCATTTCATCCAAGTTGAGTAGAGGCCGTAGCGGCCAGAGCCGGGGCGCCGTAGCGGCGGGCGGCGCAGCAGGGCTCCGTCTGCTGACCGGCGCGGCCGCCAGCGGGCACGGCCGGGCCGGCCTGTCACGGGCCGCCACAGCTGGCCGCCTCCAAACGGGGTCACCGGCTGACCCTGCCGGCCGGCGCCACGGCTGGTCACCCCGAGTAAACACCGAGACGGCCGGGTCACCAGCCGCCCGGCCCGCGGCGGCCACCGGGTGCACCGCCGGCCGGCCGGCGCGGGACGGTGGAGGGCACTCAGCAGAGGGCAGCGCCACAGCCCGGAACGGGGGTCTGCTGCAGGCAGATGTAGACACGGAGAGGGTCATTGGAGGGCAGTGCTGGACCTGGATGAGGGGTCTGTGGAGGGTCAGTCAGGGTCTGGGAGATTTTGCCCCGGGAGAGTCTAGAACACCCCGGGGGCAGCTGAACGGGCCAGTCTGGCCACAGCCTGCCCGGAATAAACGGTCTAAGCGGCGAGAGGGAGTAATCCGACAGCCATGGATGAAAACATATCGACAGTCGGATTGTCGCCAGGCGAATTCAGAAACTCCGGGAGCGACCACTGACCGGCACGCCTAGTTGTAGTCAGGGACGATGAGCTATAACCTCCATGGGTCGGGCGTGTCCAGTGGTCAGTATCGCCCGTCGCAGTCCGTCCGTCTGTTTGTCTTCGACCCACACGGTTACTCACTCGGAGGGACATGTTCCCTTTTCGGATAGCGCCGGGCCGAGGTATGTGTGAAATATTTGCGCCGTTTGCTCTGTTGTGCTCGCCGTCCCTGGGGAAAGGTCAGGAGCCGTCCCTGATCGGTAGGAGGGACCTGCTCGGGACGACACATTGGGGTCAGTCCATGCCCCCGGGGCCGAAGGGCGGAGGTTGTACCGGCCGAAGAGGACCATCGCCGGTCCCTCGTACGGGTTGGTGCTATTTCTGGAGCCAATCGCCGGCGGCGGGGGCAGGCCGCTGTCCGGAGACGTCCCGCCGTCCGGCGCGGCGGTGGCGAAAACAGCCGGGCGGGGGACAAGGGTCAGGCGGGTCAGCCGCCAGAGTCCGGCTCCTGTGTCAGTCCGATCAACCGACCTGCCCCGTGTCAGTGACCGGTGACCGGTCCCTGTGTCATCTCCAGGGACCGGTGACAAGTGACCGGTCCGTGTCATCCCCAGTGACCGGTGACCGGTGACCGGTCCCTGTGTCAGCCCCAGTGACCGGTGACCCGCCGGGTCCCCGTGTCAGCCCCGGTGACCGGTGACCGGTCCCTGTGTCAGCCCCAGCGACCGGTAACCGGCCGGCCCCCGGTATCAGCCCCAGTGACAGTCCCAATGAACGGTGACCGGTCCCCGTGTCAGTCCCAGTGACGGGTGACCGGCCGGACCCCCGTGTCAGCCGATAGTCGCTATCGGTGCACGGCCGTCCGCCGGCTATCGGTCGGCCACCAACCCGCAATTGGGCCAGCCAAACAGCGCCGGCGCCACCCCGGCACGGCAGACCGGCCCGACGGGAGGTCAGAGGGTGACCCCACAGAGAGGTCAGGGAGGGCCCACAGATAGGTCAAAGGGCGACCTCACCGAGAGGTCAGAGGGCGACCCTAACGAGAGGTTAAGGGTGACCCTAATGAGAGGTCAGAGGGAACCCACTGAGAGGTCACAGGGTGACCCTGCAGAGAGATCAGAGAAGCAGGACACCGGTACAGCTCAGAAACAGCACAGTCTGTCACCGGTGCGGGACAGATTGCATTTCACTGGCGAGACATGAATACCTCGCCGAAAGCCAGGTCTCGTAGAAGTAGTTTCGCCAATTCACAGCACACCCTGACCCGAGGCGTCGGGGTCAGCACCAAGCACCGAACTCCGTCATCGAGCCTGCTAGGTGCTCGGCCGGGGTCCGGCGGCTCGGCGACCGCCCGGCCTTCGGTACGTACTCGGTACCGAGCGGAATCAATGACTGATGTATACCGACCGACCGACCGACTGGCCGACCGGGCCGGGCCGTGACCCGAGCACGCGGCGCTCAGGTGACACGCCTCGATCGACCGGAGGGTCGCCCACGCGGCCGGCCGGCCGGCGCGCCGACCCGAGCAGCGGTGACCTTTGGGTCAGCGCCGGCGGTCAGCGAGCGGCGAGCGGCGCAACCTTTCGGCCAGCTCCCCTCCTCCGTCAGACGGTGATGAATGAATAAATTGGCCAGAGATATTGATCTCCGGATGGCAGAAGCGGGATGTCGGCCAAAGCGCTGACGACGTCACAGACGGGAGGGGCGAGTGGATGGGCGGGATGCGAGGGTATAGCGGTCGAGTGAGCATGAGGCGGCCCCCGGCGCGACTAAGTCCAGACCGGCGTAAAAATGTCAGGGGAAGGAAAAGGGCGAGCTGTGAAAGTTGGACTTCGTCACCTGTAAGGAGCTTACCGGCGTCATAATTTGCCGAACTCCGCGGTGACTCGGGCGGTGACAAAGGCGGCGGCTATGGCCGGCCCCGGGTGGCGGCGGATGGCCGGCCCCGGGTGGCGGCGGATGGCCGGGCCGTCAGGAGCCGGTCGGCCGGCCAGGTCACCGGACCGGCGCGGCGTCCTGTCCCCCGGCGGTGTGACGTCACCACCGGAGGTAATTCGGCGGCGCTCGGCGGCCGGGCCTGACCGCGCCCGGGGCGGGTGAGCCGCCGGAACCGTCCGACACGTGGTCCGTCTCCGTCCGTCGGCCG